ATACTGAAGTGCAGATAATTGCCACTATTTGCAACAAGTAGTATACTTGATAGTAGAAATCCTGCTATTTTAACATAGTGTAAATAGGTATTTGCACTTAGTGTAAATAGCATATTGCTAAAAAATACTGCTATTTTCACTTAGTGTAAATAGAATCCATTGCTAATATGAGATTTGAAAAAGGAGAAAAAAAAGTTCGGCAAAAGGCCGGTTTGAACCCGGGTCGATCGCATCAAAAAGCCAACGACACACACTTATCCATCTGCACCACTGGAGCTTATGTTTTTAGACTTGCATTTGCGTTTGTAATTTGTTATTTTGTTTTCAGAATTGTGATTTGTTTTGCACTTCACGGCCACCGTAAAAAACACTTATGGGATGCACTAAACTTTTCACATGAATGCGACAAAAACTTTGTAGTAATATCAAATATATTCTCTGACCATTAAAACAACAGAAATCGACAAGGATGTATGAAAATGTAAATTAATTACAAGAACACAAAGCACAGAGACCTCAGACAAAACTCTTTATTGTCATCAACAACAACAAAAAAGGACCAGAATTAAATTACTAATATGGAGGGAATTCGTTTTGTTTATTGACAATACAACAAATGCAATGGAGCTATTTTCCCCAAACATACACAGTTCATTCAGCAAAAACCAAGTACTAATATAAACTATAAAATAAAGCATAGCAACAAAAACCAAGCCCAGCCAAACCGAAAAAGCACAAAGCTCAACAATTAACCTGCAATAACATCAGCATAATTTTAAATACACAGACCCCAACTAGTATTTCTTTATGTACATTTTATACAAAATAAAATGCTTCTTGGTACATGCACAAGATGCACATTTGTGCAAAATTTTTACTAAAAATATTCAAGCAAACTCAAAAGCACACACTGGGGCTACAATCTAAATTACAAAAGGTAATCAACTGGACTCTTAAATTTAAAAAAATAAAAACAGATAAAATGAGAAACACCACATTCATTTCCCAATTAGAAAAAAAAAACAACAAGAAATAAAAACCAGACACCCATACAATGCACATTCATCAAGGTGTTCAAACTGGGGTTCATGATAATACTGAGCTCCAGCTGCTGTAGATCCAAAACCCGCTCACTTTAGAAGATTCAGTTGAAAGGGCTCCACTTCTCCATAGACGCATTTACGGACGCATTTCTGCTGGCTAGACTACCTACAATAAAACAGGGAAACATGATCAACATTATCAGTTACTGAGCAAAGACAGCAGCTGCTCCATGACCAATGACGGTGTTTTGAACTCCTTTGCCAGTGTCAAATAACCACTCTCAGTCCACCAGTGCATTGGATGGTGTTTCAGCAGTGGCTTCGAAAGTCTGAGCAAAAGCTTGTACTTTATTGTTTGGTCAGTTTTCCTTATTAACTGAAGGAAGGAAAAAAATGTGTATATATATATATATATATATATATATACACAAACAAAGAAAAACAAGTAGAATAGAAAGCTAGAGTTTTTTTTTTTTTTTTTTTTTTAAAAAAAAAAAAAAAAAAAAAAAAAGTATAAAATGATAAACCTCACATTATTTAAGAAAAGGGTTTATTATATATTTATATATTATTATATTTAAAATATATGATCATATGTGACCTAAACATAAGCTGTGCTTATTAGAATGGCAGTTATCTGAAAGGTGACGAGTTTGCAGGTGATATAAACACCATAAGGTAAACAACGTCATTAATCATTAGCCGTGGATAATTAGCAATCAGCAATCGCTTGGCCTAAACCTGTGATATTTGTTGATTGCAAGCTGCTCTGAAACCATGAGCCTGTAGAACAGGGGTGCCCAACCCTGCTCCTGGCGATCGACTGTCCTGCAAAGTTCAGCTCCAACCCTATGATTATAGTTGGAGCTAAGCTTTGCAGGACAGTCGATCGCCAGGAGCAGGGTTGGGCATCCCTGCTGTAGAACATACAACAACGCCTTGTATACGCTTTCAAACGTCTTTTAAATCTTTTTAAACAGATTCCGAAGCTTTTTAAAACATTAGACATCATACACTTACTGACTTTGTAAATTGGCAGAAAATTGGGGCAAAAATCGTGTAGTGTATTCCAGGCTTAATGGTTTTAGGTTTAGTGAATCACCTACATTATAGTTTCTCAAAACTGCGATGACTGACACCATGATAACCATAGCAATGTTCTGGCGTCTTGCACATTTGGTATTTGCATTTTGTTTTTTGTTCATTTACCATAATATTACAACTACCAAAGACTCTTTATGTTCAGTGATTTTAACTAAACCACCATTGACTTATGCTCGAAAGGTTGCTTTGCAGAACAGACTCTCAAAGGGTTGCCATGTCCACTTAATACAAGCAATGCTTTTTAAGCATCATTGGGCTTGTTGTTTGGGCTCAATAAAGAAGGGAGGTGCAGGTTGCGATATTTTAGTATGTGGCTTATTCCAAGATACATTTTTCTGATTTGAGTTTATTATGGCCTTGTTCGTATTTGCTTTTTTTTTCCCCATAGTACGATCTGGCAACATGGATGAGTCAAGATGTATCTTGTTTCCTGTGATTTCTTGAGCTGCACCTAGAGAAAAGACATGACTAATACAAGTTTAAATATGTCATTAACAACTAGTTATTAAGTTCTGGTGAATCGACCACTGAATTTAACAGCAGCGTGTACAGCATGTGGCCATATCTTAAATTCACAAAATTAACCAATAACATTCAGCACAGCATAAAACACCATGTACACATGTAGTGTGCTCACCTGCTTCAGAATCCAAAACCATCCTCTTTGCTTTTCGCTTCTTTTTTCTGTCCTGCTGAGGACTGTCCTACAAACACACGAGAATCCAACTGAGTTCTGGATTTTAATTCCAGTTTTAGCACAAAATGATAACTGTAAATGAGACCGTATCGGACATACTAGTCTGTCCCTGTCTGACGCAGAGCTTCTTTGGTATGTGTTTGGGGAGGATTCTGCAAAGAGAAATACACGAGTGACTCCTGCTCACATTCCTGCAGAACTGTAACAATGAACTGAGCGCAGCTACCTATGGATTTGGACAGCAGGCAGTCTTTCTTGATGTGACCGCTGGAGCCGCACAGATAACAGCATTTCTCCTCCCTCTGCCGCCGCCGTCTGTCAGTGTAAGTGCTGCCATCCGTCATCCCTCTGCCGTCAGGTCTGTTCACATCACGTCCACTGAACAATCCATCAGTGTCACGTCTTTGCCTTAGCAAACCATTGAAACATTGAAAAATCAGACTAAAAGCATCCAGTGTCTGATTTTGTAAGGATTTATTTTAATTTTAACGTGCAAATGTGCACTACAGTTCAGAGTTTGGGGTGATTTTGAACGAAGTCTCTTCTGCTCACCATTTTATCAAAAACAGTAAAAACAGTCACATTGTGAAATGTTATTACAACTTAAAATAACCATTTTCTATGTGAATATATTGTAAAATGTAATTTATTGCTATGATGCAAAGCTGAATTTTCAGCATCATTACTCCAGTCTTCAATGTCACATGACCCTTCAGAAATCATTCTAATATTCTGATTTACTTCAGCAGATATTTAGCTTATCTTATTATAATAAATATTACAGTTTTACTGTTTTTTTTTAATCAAATACATTTCAAATATTTTATTATCAGTGTTGAAAACAGTTGTGCTGCTTCACATTTTTCAGGTTTCCTTGTTGAATAGTAAGTTCAAAAGAACAACATTTATTTGAAAATGAATCTTCTGTAACAATTTGGAAGTCTTTACGGTCACTTTGGATTAATTGAATGCGTCCTTGCCTTAATAGCAGGAAATGTAGAAAAACATGTTCAAAATGTAAATATAGCATTCAGTGTGAAAAATAACCTAAACTTTCATAAAGGTAAAAGGCAAAAGGATACTTTATAACAGATCTTGTGCTGAATTACCTCTTTCGCATTGGACAGTCTTTCATAAAATGGCCAATCTTCCCACAAATTCGGCAGCAGCGGTCATCGGGTGCAAGTTTGCCCTCTGTCAGCACCTCTGGGTCAAAGAAATACTCCTGCAAACACAAAAACGATATTAAGTACAATGACTTGTAAGGCATTTTACAGAATTTGCCAACACCAAATTCTGCATGACCATATTTTAGATCCCTTAATTCCTAAATTTAACAAGTACCTTACTATTGTTAAAGGGGGGTCTAATGCTATTTCATGCATGTTGAGTTATATATACTGTTGGGGAAGTCGTGGTCTAATGGTTAGAGAGTTGGACTTGTAACCCAAAGGTTGCGGGTTCGAGTCTTGTACCGGCAGGGATTGTTGTGGGGGGAGTGAATGTACAGCGCTCTCTCGCGTGTCCTTGAGCAAGGCACCGAACCCCCAACTGCTCCCCGGGCACCGCAGCATAAATGGCTGCTCACTGCTCCGGGTGTGTGTTCACGGTGTGTGTGTGTTCATCGCTGTGTGTGTGCACTTTGGATGGGTTAAATGCAGAGCACTAATTCCAAGTATGGGTCACCATATTTGGCCACATGTCACATGTCACGTCATTCACTTCATTCACTAAAGAGTCGGATTCTCATGCTAAACATGGCCAAAGTTTCAAAAAACAATCTGGATGTAGAACAGAGAATTTCTGTGCCAAATATACTCTTTCCGGTTTAGTACAAGTTTCGGAAAGTTTTTTTTGAGCATGGCTTTTCATGACATCATGAAGGGTGGAACTCCTTGTATGGGCATTTCTCCCAGAAGAGCTGCACAGGACTTGCTCAGGAAGAAAGTCTCCAAAGAAGTGTGTTTTTGGTTTTAAGTTCAGCTTCCCAAAGAACGTAAACAGCGGATACAGTTTGTTTTTTCGGGGCCGCAACGGAGTTTCACAAGTGTGTTTGTTGATGAACGTTTTATAAACAAGGCCCATTTCGACGCTGGATTTGCACATCGTTTTATACTGAAAGATGGAGCGGTCCCAGCGATAAAAGACCCCGGTCATGTTTCGGAACTGCAGACGGTAAGTGAAACGGCATCAAATTTCTGTGTTTTGTTGGCAATCGGTGCTCAAGTGCTCGTCACTCTTTAGCCCCGCCCACGGCGCCTCCAGGAGCTCGGCTGTTTTTGGCAGTGGTGGACAGTAACGGAGTAGCTTTACTTCGTTACTGTACTTAAGTAAATTTTTCAAGTATCTGTACTTTACTGGAGTAGTTTTATTTTGAGTAACTTTTACTTTTACTTCACTACATTCCAAAGCATAAGATCGTACTTTTTACTTCACTACATTTCATAAAACATATCGTTACTTCTTATAATATATCACGTGCTCCGACACGCAGAACGAACTGATTCTTTTCAATTAACCTTTTAAATCGGTTCGCAAATCGCACCAAACGATTCATTCACGAATTAGAATGATCTGATTGCAGCTGTTCTCGAGTCGACAACTCACTGATTCAAATGAACCGTTTAGTGCGAGTCTCTAGTGAACTGAATTCACAAGTAAGAACCAGGAGATATTGTGAGCGCGCGCCTGATGCTGTTAAAAGTAAGTTACTAATGT